AGTGCCTGTTCTTACTTCTGCAGGGCCAGATGACGGGACAGACCCTCAGTGACATGAAGCAGTCCCCTAGGTGAGACTGGATTGCAGAACGTTCTGGAATCCAGGCCTCTGCTTGGCAGCAGTATCTCTTTCCAGTAAAGCACTCTGGGCAGGACTTCACAGAACTGTTTAGATAAGCTTTCCACCTTCTTGGTCTGAGCTGTATCGCAGAGTGGATGTGTCATCTCTTGTTCTTAGGAAAGTGATTTCTGCGAGACCACGTTTCACAATTGCAGATCTCATCCTTGAAAGGCAGCGAGCTCCGGGCCTCGCGCGGGTAGTCAGCTGCCGCCACAAGGCTTGCTCCATTCACAACGTGCTGTGGTGGGTGCCACCAGCTGCTCCCAAAGGCCTGACCGTCTGAGTGGAGCCCCTGACTCCTTCATTCTCTGGGGTCTGTCCCCCTTCCTCCTGCACCATCACCTACATCTACCGGTTAATCTGAATGAGCAGAGACACACTCAGTGACTGGCATGTGTAGTGCCGTGCGTGTGGCTGAATTTGAAGACAGGCTTCCGTTTTCTGCAATACCGCACTTACAACATTTCCCTGAGTCATTTGGAAAGCCTTTGAAATGCGTTCGAACCCCTCAGCTGCTCTCCTCTGGGGAGAACTTGTAGCCAATGTGGAGACCTTTCTTTCCTAACTTGAGTGGAGCTATTTCACCTTCTGGATTCTCGGGCTTTAAGCCATCCCTTCTCTAGGGACCGTTATTGGACCCTCTTCTATTACTCAATTTCCTCCCCAAAACAAAACCTCCAAACCAGTTGTTTTTTTTGTTTTTTTGTTTTTTTGTTTTTTTGTGAGAATTAGACCAGACATATTCTGTGTAAATCTGGATGATAGAACCACACAACAGGAGTCTAGTAGGGGTGGAGGGGGATGGGGTGGGAGTGGATGGGAAGAAGCTGGGGGGGGGGCGGTGGCAGGAATCTCTAAGCTTCATACTCAGGCATGAAAAGAGTCAACACTTGGTGGGATAAAGGAATTCAAAAGTCAAGGCAGAAATGCTGGTCCTCACTGTAGAGCCATCACTAAAACAAAACAAGCAAATGACCAACCTACCGGTCTCCAGGAACAGTCTGAACTTCTGCTTTGCAACGCTTAATTAGAAGACAGGAGATGGGGCTGGAGAGGTGACTCACCAGTTAAGAACACTGGCTGCTCTTCTAGAGGACCCAGGGTTCATGGCAGCTCACAACCATCTCCCATCCCAGGGGACTGGATGCCCTCTTACGACTTTTGGAGACACCAGGCACTTATGTGGTGCATAGCCATACATGCAGGCAATACATTCATATGCATAAAATAAAAATAAATACATCTTTTAAAAACTAAAAATAAATTAAAGGTATTAGCTGGCCAATGAACACAGCTCCTTGGTAGTTCTCACATGGTCATTAAATGGCGGCTGTGGTCATCAAAGGGAACATAGAAGATGAAACTTTTCCACAGAGAAATTCAGAAATCTGGTACAGAAAACAGAGCTGGAGTGGCAGACGTGGTTTGTCATTAGCCTGTCAGTCAGCCTTGTGGCCGTCCTTCCAGCCGTATCCACAGGACTTCACTTTCCATCTCTAGGCTCCAGCCAGATAAACCCTAGATTCATTCATTCACTAATTCATTCATTCATTCACTAATTCATTCATTAAGTTATAAACAGAGTTTCACATAGCCCAGGTTGGCCTGGAGCTGACATTACAGCTAGAACCAACTTTGAATTTCTAATCTTGCTGCCTGCACCTCCTGCGTGCTAGGATCACAGGCATGCACCACCATGTCTGGTTTATGTGGTGCTGGGAATTGAACCCAGGGCTTTGGTGCCTGACAAGCAAGCACCTTACCAACTGAGATACATCCTGGCCCAACACTTTCTTTGTTTTTAAATGTATTACATTTATTTATTTATTTATTTATTTATTTATTTATTTATTTATTGTGTGTGTGTGCATCCACTCAAATCCATGCCATACTGCATACATGGAGGTCACAGGACAACGCTAAGGGCTCTGCTCTCCCCTTCCTCCATTTGAACCCTGGTCTCAGGTGTCAGGCGTGGTGACAGGTGCCTCCTTCATCCACTAAGCCATCTCACCAGCCTCACTTTAAAAAAATTAATTCCTTCCCAACATTGAAAAGCAATGTTTCACTCACACACACACACACACACACACACACACATGCGCGCGCACGCAGAAAAGGTACTTTGAATGTCAACTTTTGAAAAGTTGAAGCCATAACCCCCTGCTCTGGTACTGTAGTAATAAAGCATTTTCTCTTGCTTCACAGTCCTGGGTAGCGCACCTCCTGAAACCCCATAACGTAGCTAGCTGCAGCTAACTAGGTCTAGCAAGGCCCAGGGCAAAAGCTTCTGGACACTGGGTTGAAGTTGTCCAACTGGGGTTGGACCTGGATTCAATGCCCAGCACCACGATGAACAGGGAACCCCTCTGCATGCCTAGAGAAGAGCCATCTAGGCCTTCCGACTGGACATGCCCTGAGACTTCTCATAAAGACTCCCATTCTCATTGTTCTCAGCGTACACCTCTTACATTGTTCTGATCAGAGAGCACACCAGCAGTGTCTGAGAACAAAACCACCAGTGATCATTTCACCTCTCCTTGGCTCCTGCCTCCGACCCCAATTCCAGCGCTAAAAGAAGCCTGCTGGTTAGGGTAAGGATGTTCTGAGTTTCGGCTGGGAAGACAGCACGCCTAGAAAGCACTTGCTTAGCAGGCAGTACACCTGGGGTTCAAGACCCAGCTCTTCCAAAAACCTCAACTTTGGACTTCATACTTCAGATCCCTCTGTCCTCTCCCTCCTTAAGAGACCCTACTTACAACCTGTTCTGAAATCAGCACATTGGCGGCTTGGAGAAAGTCCTCCAACCCCAGGGTTGTACTTCAATTTTCTCCCAGTTCGATTAACTGCAAGCACTTGCGCACTAGGCAGACCCTCCAGGGTGTAACCCTGAACACACCACCACCCAGGTCCTGGGGACCGAGAGCCTCGCCGCTTCGTGGAGTTGTTTCCTAAGCACCAGGGGGCGCTAGAGAGTTATTTTCCAAGTTGGTATCAGACGAATCTTTTACACTTCCTCTGATTTCCAAGTTAGATGGCAATGACGGAAGCACAAATGAAGTGGAGGCGTAGTGTAAACTGCCCCGGGGAATGAAGACAGGCATCAGATTTCAAAATTTAGTCTAAAGAACAGCTTCGGGGGTCAGAGCGTCCGTTCCTCCGCTGTCAACCTCCGGTGAGTCAGGCAAGTTCAATTGACTTTTGGTGAAAATGTTACTCCTTATTCTACCTACTTCGGGATCCTATGACATCAGTAAATTCTAGAAAAGTGGAACCGATTAGCTAAATCAAGATTCGTTTACATCGAGGTAGTCAGTTCTTCGAAACAAACGTGTAAAGGGGCGGTATGTTTCTTGAACTGGTCAGCAACTGGAAAAGGAGGCTTACCATATTGCCTGATCTGTGTTGCGGGGCCGTATTGGTTAAGGGGTATTTTACCAGACAGACCCCATCATTTATTGCCCTGCGAAGGCGTCCGAAAGTCCAACTGATAAAAGGTAATTAAACTAGCACGACGTGTGCCTCTGAGATTATCTTTGAAATGTGTGCCTGCGGTAGATGGAAAGAGGCTCACTTAGCTCTTCTGGGTGGGAGACTTTACTTTGGGGGTTGCTTTCTTTTTAAAAAGAGAGAGAGAGAGAGAGAGAGAGAGAGAGAGAGAGAGAGAGAGAGAGAGAGAGACATTCGAGCCCAGCTCCCACAGTCCGAGCAGACCGCTCAAGGACCTCGCCACCTGCCACATTCCGTATTTGGGCAAGCGCGTGCGTCACTGTCAGGAATATGGCTCCCTTTGCCAAAGCCGGCAATAATCTTACGTGTCTGTAAACGCGCGGAGTGTATGCCACGTTCCTTCACAATAGCCAACCTGGTGACTGACTTAAGAACATGCCGCCAGATGCCCTGTCTCCCGTTTCCTTATGTCTTTTGTACAGCCCGGGGAATTAGGGGGAGGGGGAATTGGCGTGCTTATTGGGAGACAGAAAGGACGAGAGAGCTACCAGGTCAAGAGCCTTCGTGCAGTGCCCTCTATGGCTCACTCAAGCTCGGGCACCGAAGGCAGGTGGGCGTCCCAGACCGGCGCACCCGGGCCGCGGACCCTCAGGTCCTCGGAGACAGTCGCCACCACTCCACGTGGTTGGGGACGTAGACCGACCGCGTCCAGCCGGGTTTCCCAGTCGTGTTACCCAACAACTTCGCAGGGGTCGTCTTCTCCCTAATTAATGTCCGGGGGGGGGGGTGGTGTACAGAGCTCTCCGGGCAGCAGGGCAACAGTCGGGAGACGAGCGGGACATTTCAGTCGGAGCTCAGCCCCGCCGCCGCGCCCCTTCCCGGTCTCAGGAGGACCGTGCGCGCAAGGAGGCGAAGGTCCCCACCACGCCCGGGTCCCCGCTGCCCTCGCCCGGGGTTCTGTTGGCAACAGGTAGCCTAGCCCGTGTGGCTCTCGGGGAAACAAACAAACAAACAAACAAACAAAAAGGTGCACTGAGCGAGCGCGGTGGCCACGGAGGGCGCGGCCGGCAACCGGGCAGAGGGGTCCTTGGGCTCCTCCCAGGAGCGCCCCGGTGGCTCCGCGGTGCGTCCCGTTGCGCAACGTAGCGCTAGGCGTGGGTCCCCGCGGACAGCAGAGAGCAGCTGCCACCGCGGCCAGGGAAGGACGCGGACTGGCGGTGGCGCCTCGGCAGAGAGGACGGGGCGGGCCGGGGCGGGGCGGCGGGGAGCCCGCCCCTGTCGGCGCGGCCAGTGGCTGTGGGCCGGGGGCGGGCGCGGGCGCGGCGATTGGGGCGGCGGCCGCCCGTCACGGCGGGGCTGGCGGGCGGCGACGTAGCGCGGCTCTCGGAACTGACCTACTAACACACATCTCTCGGCGCGGCCACGGCGCCCGCGGACCCGGCGCGCCCGCCCGTCTCCCGCGCCGCGCCCTCACCACCGCCCGCTGAGGGCCCGGCGGAGTCCAGGTCGCGCTCCGGCGCAGCCAGCCAGGTCCCGGACGCCCTTTCTTTCCCTTCTCGGGCCAGGGAGCAGAACCACGGTAAGCGCTCCGCCCACCGGTGGCTCGGGGGGCCCGGCTCAGCTCCGCGCCCGCTCTCGGAGCGCGCGGCCGGCGGGCGTGGGGCGCGGGACGCGGGCGGGCGCGGCGCAGGGATGGCGGGAGGCGGCGAGTGTGCGCGGGGCATGCATTACATAAACTTTTGCTGCCTTGGCAGGAGGGGAACTCGCCACCTTAAGGTAGCTGCTTTGATTGCAGCGCCCTGGCGCCGGCACGTAGCCCTGGCTGCCGCGCGCTCCCTCCCCCCTCCCCGCTATTGCATAATGTCTCCGGATTTCAGGAAAATTGATGTTTCGGTGGAGAAGAGCGCGCCGGGGAGGCGGAGCGGAGGCCGATCCCCCTAGCAGCCAGACGACGTGCCCTGCTCTCTGGGGTCTCTCCGTGCTGGTCCCCTCTCTGAGCCGGCTATGGGGAGGGTTGAGTCACGGGGAACCGTCTTGATTTGCTTAGAAGGAGGGTTGAGAGTGCGAACGGTGACGGCATTAGGAGATGCCTGCGCGGCGTTTGTTTGTGTCAGGCGCTGTGTCTGCACCGACGTTTTCTACCCTGTTTGTCGTCAGCATGTTTTACGAGCCCTCGGGAAGGTAGAGGGATGTGTCCTTTCTTACATTGCATAATAGACCCGCGGTGAAACGTGGGGACCGAGGACTAGCTGATGTGGGAATATGCGCCTATGTGTGCAATGATTTGGACATTTTAGCGCAGCGTTGGATATTAGATCCTTATTGGTACCTCTGTATCGTCCCAAATAAGCATGCTTTAAGAACGAGCCTACGGAATTCACTATTAAGAAAGGAGAATTCCCAGTGTAGGATACTGATGCGCGCGGGGGAGGGGGGCTCCTTTAAATGTTCCGAGGTGTTATTTTTAAGACCCGGACGAGCCATTGTGACGTTTGTCTCCCCACTTTCCCAACTGGAATGCGTTCCGTTCCTCGGCTTTTTTCTCACCTTATCGTCATTGGGTTTTTCTTCTTCTTCTTCTTCTTCTTCTTCTTCTTTTTAAGACACCACAAGACAGATCATTAACAGATTCCTGGAAATGTTAGGTTATGTAACTGCCGAATTTGCTGGCTGTTAAGCATAGAAAGAGAGCTAATTACGTGATTTTATAATTTTGCCACAAAGAAAGTAGGGCAATCTCAGCGTTTAAGAATGTCACTATCAACAGGGGTTTTGTTGGTTCTTTTTAAGGATATTTTAAGCCGTGAAGTGACAACCGATTAAGCTTTGACTTAGCCCCTGCTTGCCAAATGTGTGTCTTTTGCCCTAAATGAAATCTACGTCTTTCTAAATTTAGCGCTATCACATTTTAACAATCGTGGCCTCGGTGCTATTTCTGGTGTCTCCAGGGCTGTGTGCAAATACAAGCTCAAGGCCATTTGCTGGAGTTTTAACTCCAGCCTTCCAAGACCTCTGATAAGACTGTATTTTTAGGAAGGCATTTCGCAGCGCCCAGTGACTGCTTGCTGAACGCGGGGCCTCATTTATCATTTTAAAGGACACTTTGGAGGAACTGCTGCGCTCAGAGGCCAGCAGGGAATGGCCAAGAGTCGTCTCTCTGGCTTTTGTAAATAACAACAGCTAATAAGGTCAGAAGTATTTATTTCACATCGTAATTTCCCCCAGATCATATATGAGTTATGGGAAGCATATATAGGTTAGTAGATTGTGTTTTTGCCTGTGTAACCTAGTTTTATTCATTGGGGATAGATGAATATGTTAAGTATCTGGATATTAAATTTCTTCCCAGACTCTTACTTAGTGTAATGATGTGTGGATATACATATTTAATAGTGTCTGTGAGATATATATTTCTTAGCGTAACATTTACATAATTGAACTACAGTATTATTTCAGGGGGTGGACACATTGACCCTTGGAACACATTATTACCCCTATTCCAGCCGTTTTCCAAGACGCTGCAGTTGCGCTAGTTCCCCACCACCACCACCACCACGCGACCCACTTTGCGAGCTGGGCTGGGAGACCCAGGCCTGCCGGGGTGTGGGGGGTGGCTTTGCAACGCCACCTTTCATCAAACGGCCTTGCGCCCCTCGCTTGCGCCCCAGGGGCCGGGCACGCGCCTGGCGGTGGAAGGCTGGGACCTCAGCCCAAGACGCGCCCCTGGACAGCCGCTGGACGCGCCTCGCGGTGGCCCGCGCGCCTCCCCGCCCCCTCCCCGCATTCCTTTGTTCTGGCGCGGGGGTCCTCGCGGCGCCGAGGCCCCGCTGCGCCGCCCACCCGGCGGGAGGCGGGCCTGGAGAGCGGCGCGGCGTGGGGGCGCGGCCGCGGAGCGGGGCGGAGGCTCGCGGGACCCGGTGCGCTTCGCTGCGCTCGCCCGGAGCTGGGAGGCCTGGAGCGGAAAGCGGGCGAGTCTACTGGGCGCAGGCTCCAGCGGAGATGGGCCTCGGGACAGCGCAGCCTCGGGTGGCACAGCCGGGGGCCGACTTCACTACGCGGCACCGCTAGCTGCGACCCCCACAGACACCTTTGTTCCCGAGAGTCTTCCTTATATTTCCGAGCCTAGCTCTTCTCCTTTCATGGAGTGAAAAAGCAAGACCTCTTAAGGGCTATAGAAATGGGCTTGATCGTGGTGGAAAGGAGTGTCCCTGCTTGACCGTGGCCTGTTGAGCCCACATTTTTATTAATTCTTGTATCTAAAGTTTTTATGGTCAAAAGCCCAAGGTTATATATATGGTCAGGTGTTCCCAGCTCTAAATCACCCACATAGATGCAGCTGTCCCTGTGTAAAAGTACCTCCCTGCGCTTTCAGCCCAGATGCTGGTTTACCCGGGTGGGCTTCACTCTCGTGAAGCATCCAAGTGTTCGAGGGTGCATGGTAAGCCTGGAATTCAGCTTCAGAGGATGCTATTGGATACCCTAGGGACCGGACCCTCTTTCAACTGGAGACAGCTTTGGGAGGTGCAAAAAGGACAGGCGCAGGGTGCTGCCCAGGCCTCTGGCCCAGTATTTGATTGACCCTCACTGGCCTTTAGGGAATCTTGAAGGGGAAACCTGTGGAGCTGGACAATTAGAAGGAACTCAGTAAACGTTTCCAGAATACTTGTGTCTGGGCTCACTTTCCTTTTCTGAACCCGAATCTCACTGGAAGGATGAGGATGGGATTGGTGTTGGGTCTGTGAAGATCCATCTCTTTTTTTTGTTGTTGTTTGTTTGTTTCTGAATACTCTTGACTTGGTATGTGTTGTTAGTCTCTGTACCAAAGGAATTCTCAACAGCATCTAGGCGCTTCAGTGTCCCAAGTAACTGGGTTAATGTCTTAGGGAAGTGTCTGAAGGAACAGAGATGAGTCCCCACGGCAGGAGTAGGTTGACCTTTTCCAGATCCCTGGAACTCTGTGTGACTTTTGTTCTTGGGGTTGGCTGGTGCTTGCCTCAGAACCTGTGGTCTGCGGTCAACAGTGGTGGTTCTCACATGCAGGTGGACACATATGCCGTCTTAGAGTACATGTAGCTGTGTGGCCAACAACTAAAGGCAGGATCAAGATGGTTCTTGATCCTGCCGAAGAAAACCTGGGTCTGAGGTACCTAGGGCAGTCTAAAATAGTGCCTCGCAGAAAGGGCTGGAACCTGGAGCCATCACAGCCTCGATGATCATTCTTCAGAAATAAGAAGGGTGGTTACCAAACGAGGCAGGTGGAGGACCCACTCAGCGCTTTGCGCTTAGAGAAGCTGGTTAGCAGCCCAGGCCAGGCACTTAAAAAGATGGGAGCTTGGTCAGCCATGCCCTCTCTCCTCCACCATCCCATCTGTTCCTTCACTGAGAGCAAGCAAGCTCACTGTACTTGGTGGAACAGTTTCCTTTTCTGCGTTGAGGGCTTATCTTGGCAATTATAACATCACCAATGATGCAACAGCCTGCAAATTAAAGCCCTTTGTGAAAGGCTGCGAGCTGGTTGAGCAAGGCCCCTGACTCACTCCCGCCAGTGGAGTTTTCTAGCTGACCTTGCCGTGGTCATCAGTGGGTTCCGAGATGCAGGTCTAATTGAAGCGTGGGCTGGAAAGGCGCGGTCAGAGTGCTCAGCGTTATTTTTACCCAGCTTAAAAATCACACATGCCTCATTATTTCCATTGTAACCCAGATGGCATTGGGACTGTTAAAAGTTGTTTATTTTTAATTTGTATTGCGGAATGAGAGCACGCTTGGGATTCAAGTCAAACATAACAAACAATGTCATTGAGATTTCCTATAATGTTCCCTTCTTGTTTTCGTCAGGTATGCCTGCGTTTCACCGGGTGAGCGCATTGTTCGATATCCTGTTATTTTTCTAAATTTTATTTGAGTTGATTTTTATCCAGATTGGACTCACAGTGAATGTCGAAAGACCCTGACCTTTGATCACAGTTACATAAGAGGCTTTTTTTTCAGTTTCAAAATGAGTTTTTATTGCCACCACCCCCACTCACCTCTCACGTTTCTTTGCAACTAATTTTCCCGTTGTTATGAAGGGGGAGGATTTTGTTTCTCATATGGCTTTAATTAGAGTTTGAGCCTGTTTTTTAAGTTTAGTGGGGATTTAAGAGATGCCATTCGTTAATAATCCAGGCTTTGAGGACGTGCTTTCACTGGAGTTTGGGTGTTTATAAGTCTTTCAATTATCAGAACACGGTGTATTTTATTAACTTTCTAGGGATCTTAAATGTAATTAAGTAGCCTTCAAATAAACCTTCCGCTTTAGTCATAAGGCACACGGCACAATAAATGGCACTCACCGGCATGTGCTATTAAGAAAGAGAACAAGAACGTTAGAGACCAGGCTGGGGGGGTTGGGAACACTCAAGAACTCTTTCTGCCATGCCCCGTCCCCAGCATGCTTCCTTTTTTGCAACTGATGTTGTTTTGTTTCTTTGCCACTGTGCTGTAAACCGATTGACTGTGATGCTGGTGCCCCTAAGACTCAGGGGAGACTGGGGTTGTAGCTCAGTTGGCAGCGTTTGCTGTGCATTCCCAACTCCATGG